TCCAACAATACATTATAATGCCTAATACTATTAAAGTAAGATTAACATGGCTATGATAGTACAATTATGGAACGTAAGTGACAACTTAAAGAATGACAAATACGGAAGTGAAGATACACAGGAAAAATTAATCGTTACAGTATGCAACTTACAGTAAATATTAAATCATTGGGTTTCTGTAATACGTATCGATATGCATTTTATTGTAAAGCCAGGTACGTATGTACGTACAGTACGTACGTACGTACGTACATGCGTGCTTGCGTACGTACGGTACGTGCCTACGTTACATATTGAACTACATATTGCATAAATTCCATTCTTGACATCTTTATATAAATAAACTACAAATTGCATCATAAAAAAACTAACCTTAACGTACGTACCTGGCTTTAACGTTCACCCAAATTCGTCATTAATGGTACCATAAAGAACTTCTTGTATTTACCGTTACAATAGCTTGGTTTTATGGTTTGTATCATATAATAACAATTACGGTTTGTATTATATAATGACAATGATTCGTTCCACAATTCTAAAAATTAATACCGATTATTCATTTGACCTCAGGTAATTGATCAGATCAAAGCTCCAATACTACTAAATGGAATTTATGACGCCTGAAGAGACAAGACTATTCTCAAAGGTTTTCTCACGTATTGATCTGACGAAACCTTTGACGAAACTCCCGACAATTAACGAAACTCTCGACGAATAAATTCGGCCAATTACAGTCGACTCTCTTTCAGCGGGCCTTTTATAGTGAAGTCTGAATATCCTGAACCTTGATTTTTTTTTTCAAATCTTACTGTATTTCATCATATAGGTAAAACTACTAATTCTGCTAAAGTTTTTGTTGGTAATTTTGTCAGTTCAATATAAACAAGTCAACTATTCAAGCTAGTCACGCACAATTCTGTAACAGCAAAATGAAATATAACATGTATATAACTATTAATAATATTAATGAATGACTTCACCGTATAATCTGTATTTAGGATTTAATTCAATGATATTAGGGAATTTTGCAATTAACATATTTAGAAATAAATTGCTTTAAAAATCAACCACTGATTACGAATACGTATTAAACTATAAAAGTTTATACATTACTATACATGATAATAATCATATTAATTAAGAGGAGTTCTCCAGGTCAACAACCAAAAGTACGTACTAAGCGCCAAAACTGCCTCATTTTAGAAAACGCTTGAATCATGTGGTTTAAATTGGCTCCTGCATATGGGCATTCTCATATCATCATGTAGCAACAATTATGCTACAGCTGCAGTTCTTATTAGGGTATAGCTGCGAGTCATGTGATTGTACTTTTCGTGGTCTCCTTGGCTAACTCTAAGAAAAACATTTAAATAGCCTGCTTTAAAATAATAATAATATAATATGCTTAAATTATAAAATATAATTTTCAGTGAATAAACATAATTTTATTCGTATTTTGCGTTAAATTCTAACAAAGTTTCTCATTTAAACTTTGCTCAGCTTCAATCATGTTAACACAAGAATATAGGGCGTCACCGAATAAAAGCCTGTGACCCTTAAGACTCAAAAAAAGAAACATTCATTGATGATATCAATTCTATTCCGGGAAAAATTAACTGCAATGTTACAGTAACTATAAATATTACGAGAACGCAAAAATCGATTTTTAATATAACAAAAATGTCTCAATCTACTGGAAAAGCTCGAAAGAAGTTATCTCCCATAGAATCTTTTAAAAAAATCTTTTATTCTAAAATTAATCTATTTTTGTTTTTCGTTCCCGTGGGATACGTAGTGCACTTTCTTAACTTAAATGCCATACTAGTTTTTATAGCAAATTCTCTGGCTGTTATATCATTGGGTTACCGGCTTAATGAACTTACGTACTATTTTGAAGAGGTATTGTTTACTAAACGACATAATAATCATTACTTCATTATTCTAATCCTAATATTTTTTGATAAAGACTATTATACGAAACATAATAGATGTATTATTTAAAAATTTGATAGAATTAATAATAACTATAATTTTGTTGGTAAATGGTAACATTTTCATGGTCCAAACAGTAGTGCTAGGGTCTATATTCTTTAATATTCTACTTGTATTGGGATTGTGTTTTCTCGTTGGTGGAGTCAAAATTCTTAAAAAAAAAGAGCTTGAACAAGAATTCAGTTCGACAATTGCACAATTAATTACTGCAGTGTTGACATTAGCATGTATTTCTCTAGTTCTACCTGCCGCATTCAGTGTTTTTATCCAAAAAAGTTCCAATGATATTATGGTATTACGTATAAGTTATGGAACATCAATGGTGTTATTAGTTATATATGTATTATATATGATTTTTAAGGTAATATTGAAATTCATTTCGTCGTCGTAGTCTACATTCACATGATTTTATAATCTATTTCTTTATTTACATATAGTTATACACCCATAAAAAACTATTTAAATTAAGTCGTGAAGGCGAAGAACATATAGACACGATAACGTCATTAATTTTGCTTGCCATAATGGCAGTGATTATGTTTTTTTCAGCCATATTTCTCGTAAATTCAATAGATGGAATTGTTGGCATAAGTAAAACTTTTATTGGGTTGATTTTACTACCTATAGTTTGTCATATTGCTAAGGTATTAAAAATGTTAACTTTATTATCAAATGTTGTTCTTCTTTCTATAAGCATTTACATGTCTAATTTGTAATAGTTCATTACCATTGCCTTCGTTGACATTGAATATATTGAATTCGAAAAAATATGTCGTGATTGTAAAGAAAAAATGGAAAAAATGGCAACTAAAAATGTAAATAATGCTGAATGTGATAAATGTAAAGAATTCAATCTACCTGAATGTAAAAAAAGAATGAAGGCAACTACTATTTTATCTTCTAAAAGTTCAATTGTAAGTTGCATGATAATATAGCAATCATACGTTATGTTAGATTTTTTAATTTTTTTTCACTTTACACAATAAATATAGCGAACCGCGTTACTTACTACCCCAATCTTGGTGATTTTGGGATGGATTATTAGTAAACCTATGTCTCTGAATTTCCCACCATTTCAAACTATTTGTGTAGTTATTGCAGTTATACTCAAAAATTACTTAATTCAGGTGCGTTACCTTTAGAATTTTTTTTTCTTGAAATTTTTTTTAAAAAAATTAACGTACCATCCTATTAAAATGTTCTTTTAACATAGGGTAAGTATTATTTCATTATATCATCAGTATAATACTTTAATAACTTATCTTACTATTAAATTGTATTTTTAGATGGCAAATCAAATTGGTTAGAAGGTATAATGTTAATATCGACTTATTTGATAATGGCTTTAGCATTTTTCTTTTTTCCAGACCCATCATAAGATACATCCTTCACGCAAGATAATCTTGTTATCCACCTTATGTCTCATTTATCTCTCTCACACAATATGCAGTAAAATACAAATTTTGATACATTAAAGTGATAAATTATATATAATATTAGCGTAGGTATTTTGACGAATTGATAGATCGAGAGATTTAGATTGGAGAATTGGTTTATCTTCTCCGTGGAAGAAATTGAATAATATAAAAATTTCAATTCAATCGCTGGACCACCAAATATCTCAATTTGTAGTTAATTTACCATGATAACTATCTCGTATAATTTCTTCTTCTATATACTATTCAAACAGAGATATCTTTGACCTAGCGAACGAATTTTTACTATTCGATTCCTCTCAGATCGAAGAATCGAATTGTGCAAAAAGTCTCTAGATCCTGATATAATCTCAGCTTATCAAAATATTCCACCCTCCTCAAATTTTATTTCTTGGTGTTATTTCATAGCCGAATTTGTTCTAAATTGTTTAGTAGACAATAATTTTTTCATATTAAAAATAAAAAGGCTTTTTATCATATATATACTATAAGTTTTATTAAAATACTTCCTTTCATCTTTTATTATTGTTCGAACAGTCATTTAATATATCTTAATGCATATGGGAAGAGTTTGTAGTTACATAGCATTTCATCGGTTTGCAATTCTACATTTCTGTGAAAGGCTTAAAGGAGAAAGGTATTGATTGATTAAACTCCTACATAACAATGAAAAGAGAATCATTCTTTTACTTCCCAACATAACTCAAAATGATTGCTTGGCTACTGAGCCTCGATCCACGATCAATATTTGAGTCATGGATCAGGGTCATAAGATAAAAAAAATTCACATAGTATGATCACTAAAATCATTTATGTAAATACCGTTAAAATCGATTGCATTCCTCAAATCTGCTGCTTGTATATAATACTGATTTTGACTATGCTAAACAATATCCCAGATTAATATGCATCATCATATCGGATTCTAAGTCGTTAAACAGATACTTTCTTTTATTATTTTTTTAATTAATAGAGTCACTTAAAAAAAGTGGCTATTGGAATACTCGATATAAATTTCCATTTAATAAGGTGGAAAGATGGAGAAGTGGTTAGTCGCGTTATCGATATAAATCTGGGGACCAAATATTTGAATTTGATGACTCAAACATTAGTTTAATTCGCCATGATGATGATAAATTAAGTAGGAAACTGTGAAAAATTGCATGTAAAATATATAAGGATATTTTTCTGATTGAGATTAATTATAAAAATTTTCATGATTTTTGAATCTAATGTAAAGCATATTCCGGGTGTTTCAAAAGTTCCAATACATGATCCTTGTTTTTTTTTAAGTGATTTTGTATATAAAGATCATAATATATTTGCATAAATAATCGTCGTGACTTCTATACATAAGGTCACAAAAAAGGGACTGTGTATTAGAACATTTGAATCACCCAATACAAAATATGCTAATGTATTTATAAAGAGTAAGATTTATTTATGATAGTTTTCAATTTGTCTTTTCAAAAATGTGACTGACAAATCTGACCAGTTTTAGCAATATCAAACCAAATTGTACGATTATATTAACTATAATTTTGAACGATATTCTAAAACTCTTCGTATTTTATAAAAACCTTTTACCAATTTTATGTCCCCAATCATCTTCAGATTGGTACAGCAAAACGCATCCACTTTTTATTAATAATAACTTTAAATAACTATAACTTTTTTAAACCAAGTTAACTCAAAAGCACTTAGCTAACTACATTTTCTGTCAGAGGATTTTTTATTATTTTTTGGTTTAAAGGAGTTATTAAGAGTTAAATTTTATAATGATTTAAAAAAAAAAAAGGAAATATATATGTTTAATTAACCAATTAGAATCAATTACATCAAAAATCAACAAGCAGAATCGATTATATAAGTACCAAAAATTGGCGCTTTATATGTATAGAGTTGATGTCTTATGCTGTCCGTTACTGTACAAAATTTGAATTACCCATTTCTTTCGTGGTGAAAAGATTTCAACAAGATCAAGTTCTACATATAAATACATGATTGATTATGTGAATACGATAACAAACTAATTTTACAGTAATATAATTATGTTAAGTACTACGTTGTTTTTATATTTTTTATAGCTTACTACATAATAAATAATGAAATTGCTGACTATTTACAGTTTCTTATAATGGAATAAATAGGTTTTTGGCTTTCATGAATTTCTAATCTCAAAGTTTCTCTATTTCCATAGCTTTTGCTTTCCACGTCTTTTTTTTTTTTTGATAATTTGAAATTAAATTAGTTAAGATAATGAAATGTTGTGATTGTGAAGTTATAACTGCCTTAGTAGTACTGGATTCATTTTGTGTTCCGATCTTCTTATATCAATCTATCCTGTTAGTGATTTAAAATAATCAGAATAAATTTCATTTTAAATATTTAATCGCAAAGATAATTGCAAAATTAAAAGAAATTATTATATAGTGTAACTTGTAATTGACCGTCAATTTCAAGTTCGAACTGAATATTTATAAAATAAAAATACATTAAATCAATATTTTATCTTTAACATTATGAATAACTGACTATATAATACATCTATTGCTATGTTAAAATTATTAAATAGCTTTTTGCTTTTATAATTCTAAATTTAACTATAATCGCTAAATTATAATATTTCTTGTAAATTAATTAAATTATTAAGTTTAATTTATATGAATATAGCTGTTGATCCATAACAATATAGGACATTACCAAATAAAAATTGTGATACTAAAAAAAGAAACTTTCAATAAGAATAGCAATCCTATTACAGAAAAATTAACTGCAAGATTATGTAACTATAAATACGTATGAAATTACAAAAATTGATTTTGTAGGGTAAAAAAAAAATGTGTCTATCTATTAAAAAAACTCTATCATCCTTGAAAGAAACTTTTAAATTAATTAGCATTTCTAATAAATCCAATGTATTTTTATTTTTCGTTCCTGTAGGGTATATAGTGTACTTTCTTAGCTCGAGTGACACACTAATTTTTATAATGAACTTTCTTGCAATTATACCATCAGCTCAAGTGCTGAGGTTTGCAAATAGTGAAGTTTCGCACCATTCCGGTGAGGTATTGTTATCAAACGACATTATATCACTACTTTTAGTTATTATAATACTAATATTCTAATAAAGCCTCTAGGAAGCCTATTGAATATAACATCTAGTAATTCGGTAGAATTAATAGTAACCATAATTGCGTTGATAAATGGTCAAATTCGTGTTGTCCAAGCAACAGTTCTAGGATCTATATTCTCCCATCTTTTGCTTGTATTAGGATTTTGTTTTCTCATTGGGGGAATTAAAATCCTTATTAAAGAAAACAAGCTTGAACAAGAATTTAGTTCGACTGCTGCACAAATGACGTCTAGTGTGATGACATTAGCTTGTATTTCTCTAGTATTACCTTCCGCATTCAGTATTCTTATCAATTATCGCTTTTCCAATATTCCTGCCGTTATGATTAATGATAAGATTTTGCATATAAGTTATGGAGTATCAATAGCTTTATTGGTTATATATTTACTCTATTTATGTTTTACGGTACTATGGAAGTTCATTTCATCGTCGTACTCTGCATATTTTATATAATTACAGAATTTCTTCTGTTGTATATAGACAAAAACCCATAAAATACTATTTAAGAAATATTACGGTCATAAAGGTGAAGATAGCAGAGAAAAAAAATACGAAAACGAAGAAAATGAAGAAAGCAGAGAACAAAGATGTGAGAATGAAAAAAACGGAGAACAAATAGATGGAGGAGATAAAAGTGGAAAGCACATAAGCTTGATATCGTCATTAATTTTGCTAATTATAATGACAGCGATTATTGCTATTTCAGCAAAGTTTCTCGTAACATCAATCGAGGGAATTGTTACGTCCTATAACATAAGTAAAACTTTTATTGCGTTGGTTTTATTACCCATAGTCGGTAATGGTGCTAAGGTATTCAGAATGCTTTTAATTAAACCATTACACTTTTTTTAAGTATTTATATGTCTAAATGTCTAAATTGTAATAGTATGCGAACGCTGTTAATACCGCAAGTAAAAATAAAATGGATACAGTTCTTCTTATTTCTGTTGGAAGTTCAACTGTAAGTTAAGCAATTATATAACAATTATATGTAATTTTTAATTTTTAATTTTTTTCACTTTTTCACAATAAATACAGCAATCCGCGTTATTTATTACTCCACTATTGGTGATTTTGGGATGGATTATTAATCAGCCTATGTCTCTATTTTTTTCACCATTTGAAACCATTTGTTTATTTATTTCAGTTATACTAAAAAATTACTTAGTTCAGGTGAGTATTCTTTAGGATGTTTTCTTTTTAAAACAAAAAAAAAGACTTCAAAATTAATGTAATGAAACCACTCTATTTCTTAAATTTCTAATTTAAAATCATAGGGTAAGCATTGTTTTATAATCTTGTTAATATAGTACTTTAATGCCTCATCTTTAATATTAAATTATATTTATAGATGGGAAATCAAATTGGTTGGAAGGCATATTGTTAATAGCGACTTATTTGATAATAGCTGTGGCATTTTACTTTTATCCGGATCAGTGATAGGATACATTCATCCTTTTTGTCTATTTATGCCTATATAACTCTCACAAGATAACCATTATATTTTTGTATATTAAAGTATTAAAGTATTTATTAGACTGTCAAGAGTATTTTATCGAGTTGATATATTTTAGACCTGGCACTTTTTATGCAACCTGATTCTTCATTCTATTCAGCGGGAAGAATTGAATAATATTCAAATTTGATCGTAGACTTCTCATTTCTTATTTATATGATCATCTAAAGCCAGATAGTTTTCAAATTGATTACTGATTTAGTACTAAGTCATAATTGCGTGATAGATTTAAAATACTACCCGGTTCTAGTTGATCCCCTATTTCTTACTATACTGTTCAGACAAAAATATTTCTGATTTATTGATTTATTAGAGCAAGTTTTTCATTAGATTCTTTCAGATTCTAAAATAATCTCAATTTGTCTGCCCTTCTCAAAATTCAAATTTCTCTGGTAGATTTATTATACTGTTATTAAAAGACAGAAATTTTTCATATCAAAATAAAAAATTTTATATTAAATACGTACAGTACAATATTTTAACTTCGTCAAAGTACTCCCTTTTACCTTTGATCAAAGTCATTCATTTTATCTTAATACATATGAGAATAAGGTTTCTTATTGCATGGCACTTTATTAGTCTTTATCGGAATCAGACTCTTACATAAAATAAAAAACAAATCGTTCTTTTATTTACAGAAATAACTCAAATTGATCGCTTTGCTACTACACTCTTGGATCACGATCAATTCTATGTGGCTTGAGTTATAGCTGTAATTAATTACGGTATTGCACCCGGAAAATGTGTACTAGGTTGGGTTCGGATGATAGTCCGGACGATGGCCGGAAAATGTCTTCGAATTTTTACATTTTTTTTTCTTTTTACTAAGACTTTATTTTTCAATTATAGCAATTATATAAAGCAATATTTAATACAAATTACAACACATTCTAACACATAGAATAATACAAATAAATTTGAATTTCGACATTATAATAATTTATTTATTTTTAACCATTTAATTTGTTTTCTGTGACATTCTTCGATAATTTATGTACTCTTTGCAATTGATCATCTTCATTTCAAATTGATTGATATTTTTCTTTCTGATATTCATTGACTGTATGAAATTTGGTGAAATAGATAAGATGCTAACTTGTCTATCGATAGAGATTCGGATTTTGTTTCCTTCTTGAAATATTCAATGTTGACAAGAAGTTGGCTATTATTGTTAACATTAAAATGATAAGTTGAAAACTTTTCAATAGATATAATATGCTTATTAGATCTTCATTGCTACATAAGTATTAAATAAATTCTGAATTGTTATCAATTAAAATTTAAAATACCAACCTAATTTTAATATCGATCGAATATTGCTTATTTTCACATTCGGCTATTATAGCTTCAACTTGTGACTCATAAGCGACGAAAGTATTTGGCGAAGTGATATAGGTAGTTTTGATATATTCTATTATTTTGTTTTGCTAAGTCCTAATCTTATGGTTTCTTGCATGTAATTAACGAAATAAAGCTTACAATATAAAATACGTGCTTATAACAAATTTGCATCACTTTTATTTTTTGCAAGAAAAAAAAAACAACCGAAAAACATTATTGATTATTATAATTTAAATAATGATAAACTAATGAAAATAAGCAATTTTATTTTATTTGCTAGACAACATACGTACATGAATACGTAATTGTTGTTTATACAAAAAAAAAATTATTAATACTCTAGCCCTAACCCTAACTAGTTATGAATGTTATACCATTCCGATCTAGCTTTCCGGACGAACATCCGATCTCAACCTGGTACACATTTTCCAGGTGCTACGGTATTATGGCAATAACATAATGCCGTAAATTATAAATTTATAGTGTTGCAATACTATATTTTCATAATGCCGTATTTTCACATTGCCTATTAGCTTTATTAAATAAAATTTTATATAAATTAAATAATTTTAGGTTTAAATTAAATGTCTAAATTAATATGGTATAATATAAATAATGGCTATTACGGTTTGTTAAATTCTGTATCTATAGTTGTTAGATGAAACCTCGAGGTTTCGCGCCGACGAAAGTCGAAACCTAGTTTCGACTTTCGTCAACTAAAATCTCAAATGACGAAATGTCGAAACTGACGAAAGGTGTCGAAACTGACGAAAGGTATCGAAACTGGCGAAAGGTGACGAAACTGGCGAAACTGCAAAGGGTGGCAGAACTAATAAAAGATGAAGAAACAGATAAATGTTGTTGAAACTCATTGAAGATCATGTGAATAAAAAATAAATTACAAAAACAGAAATTTTATAAAAATTTTAGACAAATGTGAATAAAGGCGTCTTGGCTTTCTACATTTTATGTTCATAAAGGGCTAAAATTTAAAATATACAATTTATGCTTAGATTAATTTTAATAAGAAACTTAATAATCAATTAAGTAAATCAGCATAAATAATGAATTAATAACATAGATTATTTTACATATTTCAGTGTTTGATAATTGTTATGTCTATTGTAGCTTTTATTTTGATAGATGTTTGATTATTTCCTAACTTTATGCGAAGAAATCTCTATAACTACCCGACCAAGTTCGCATCACGGCGAATTTATGAAATAAGAGCATTTTGACTTACTATGAAATGCGTCATTTACTATTTTTTTTTTGACATTTCTTCATGTAAATGACGTCTAACACATCTTTTTATGGGAAGATGGGTTAGACCAGTGTATAAAATCTATGTGCACAATGTGATTATGAGCACATGTTTTTAAAAGTTTTCACATGTTTTTAGCTAGAAATATGCACGAAATTCACAAGATTTCTAGCCACATAGTGCACAAATTTATTACTATCTTATCTATGTGCACATGGAGCACATTGTGCACACGGTCTATTTTTATATATGTAAATTAAATAGATATTATAAAAATTTATAGTGCACTAATTTTAAAATTGTTCACATAAATTAAGCATACAATGTGCTCATTGAGCACATGTTTTTGAGATGAGATTTTATACACTGAGAATCTTTAATTAAAAGGGTTTATAATAAATTAAAAGGTTATAATGATATTCTTTAAGTGTTAATGATTACAGTAGTGCCTTAAATAAATCTATTTCTGCAAGAATTTTCCAGTACCTGTATAATTCATTTTAAGTTTGCTTGAATTTATATTATTAAACAGTGATTTGTTTTAAATATCCTATACAGTCAGCAAAACAATATCATTGTATAAAGTTATTAATCTAAATCTCCATTGCTGTAGGTAAAAGCATTGTATGTACATATGTATATATAGCAACAGGTAATAAAATTCTTGGCTAGTCATGTAGAGCTGATGATCATATTGGAAGAATCTAAAATAATCTAATCAATATTTTGTTGTTGTAATCTACATTATTCTAATTTGGTATATTTCCTGACTGTATTGCTACTAACTTGTTGTTGTAATCTACATTATTCTAATTTGGTATATTTCCTGACTGTATTGCTACTAACTTGTTGTGTTGGGGTTTTTTAACAAAATTTGCATTTCTTTTAAGTAGTTCTCAGGGTGCTAGATAACTTTACTTAAGAGCTGAATATTTAATTTACTTAGTAAGTTTTTGAGAAAATGTCACAAGTAAGTTTTTTCTTCTTGTGTTTATTTTGATAAAGTGATCTATGAAAAGAGTCTATAGTTTATATCTGTTCTCTCTACTATTTGTGTTTTTGCAATTTTAATAGCTTTAGATATTTTATAATTTTTTTTTCTTAGTATATACTTTTAAAATATTTTTAATAACTAGATTAGTATTTTTTAGTTTTTAAAAATTTTGTTATTCTATTTTTTTTAGTTTTCTAATTTTGCTTTATAGTATTGTCAAAGATCCTCACTATTTTTTATTTGGATTTGCTAAGCTAGTTTTAAATTTTTTAGTTCTCTTTATTAATTTTATATAATTTTAAAAATTTTAGTTAGCACTATTTATACTAGTTTGTATTTTTTTTTGTATAATCCAAATATTATACAAATATTTTAAAAATCTTTTATTATATAAAATATTTTGGTATAACTAAAGTTACAAAAAATAGAACCCAACTAGTTAATAAAACTCTATTATTATAATATATTTAAAATGTTTTTAATAAGATTCAAACTTTGTATCTTAGTTACAGATTGCTTTAAAATATAATAATTTCACTTTTACACTAAGTTGCAATACTTTTTAATCTATGTTTTAAATTCTAACTAAAAATTTTTTGCAAAATTTTATTAGTCTAACTAGTGTTGAATATTTACCAATTTTTAGCTTATTAGACTAGATATAGATATTGAATATATATACTGGTTGAAATTAAAACATTCAATAATAAATCAGTAATAATTCAATAACAATTCAGTAAACATTCAACAACCATTCAGGTACTGATTCCTGCCACTTAGCTACCACTTAGTAAAAATTCAGTAATATATTACTAGATTTTTACTGAGTGGTAGCTGAGTGGCAGCTAAGTAGCAGGAATCAGTACCTGAATAGTTGTTAAATGTTTACTGAATTATTACCAATTTATTACTGAATGTTTTAATTTTGACTAGTGATACTTAATATTTAATATATTTAGTTATTTACTATAAAAAATTATAGTAAATATTTTGGCTAAAGTTATAACAATTTTTAAGTTAACTAGCCTGAATTAACTTTAGAGTTAGAGTTAGAGCTTCTATTAAAGTTAGAGTTAAAGTTTTTTATTTATTTTATTTTATTTTTTTCAATATTAAGGTAGCCTCTTTGGCTATATCTTTTTATTAAAAGTTTTATTTTAGATATAATGAGAGTATATCATGCTATACTTGCATATTTGGTGCCTAATTTAAGTAGTTTATATCTAAGCTATTTATTTAGAGTTTTACACTATCTGCTATATATATATAAGA